TTTATCATTTAAAAGCTAGATTAGTGAAAGATGCTAGCACCTCTAAAATCTTAAGGCTTGGAATAGTCGTAATCTTATATTTAATAATTCTAAGGCACGGGTACCCACTATCGTAGCATTTTTTAAAATATTTTATGTATAATTTAAAATTCTAAAAATCTAAAAACATAATAAGTGTGATAACCTTTATTTATGTCCATTTTTTTCCGTTAAGTTTTTTTATACATTATTATGCTATAAAAATTGTACTATACAATATTTTGGACAAACATACCTCTACCGTTATAACTTCTGTTATCTTTTCCACTATTGTTACTATGCACATGCATCCATGATATATTTTCTTATCTTCTTCAATAATAATAAAGGAAAATCGCACTTTTTGCCCCTCAATTGTTCTCAGATATGCAATGTAGTCCTTCATTGTCAATCTTGCAAAATTGGTCCTTCAAATGTTTCAATTGTAGCCAATGTAGCCTGCGGTCAAATTTGTCACTAACTAGTGTTAAAACCATGGACAATTTGGTAATTTCAAAACCCATTAAGTTTTACCCCCAATTTCCTCCTTTCTCCCGCATTGGCTTTTTAGATTTTTCACTCACACCGGAATCCATGGTGACGGCAGCGCCGCCGTGGTTGCCAGCGACCGGCGGTGGTCCGGTCGCCAGAATCTACAAATTCTGGAAATTTTCCATAAATGAATCTGACGGTGCAAAGGCAGCAGAGGTAGAGACGGAGGTAAATATCAATTTACGTTCTAGAATTAATGAATTGAGGCAAGGGAAGCTAGTAGTGAAAATTAGAGAGACGCATAAAAATCATCGCCGGAAGTTATAAGCATAGAATGCGAACGCCGGAAATGGACTTGAAAATTGCCGGAATACACAGAACACCATGCTACCTTTCATCTCGGCATCCTTGATTCTAGAAAACCTAGTCGAAAGATAATTTTTTTTTTTTTTTTTTTTTTTGTAAATTAAAGTCGGTATAATGAATGATAATAATAGTGTCATTTTTCCCCCTGTTCTCCAGTTTGTCATGGACGTTTTCCCTCTCTGGTCGCGCTGGTTTCTCTTTTCTAGTGATGTTGAATCTATGGTGAGGAGCTTGGGCGTTGCAATGAGATATCAACGGTGGCATCACGATTTGGAGAATATGGCGGCGACGAGGCTGGGCTCTCGCCGAAGTTCGGCTTCCTCTCTTCCTTCAGGTGACGGATTGTCGCTGCTCCTCAAGCATGCTTGGACGACAACGAGCTGCGGGTGTTGACGTCGCGACTTGAAGTCGCGGGCAGTGGGCGGCGTCAGCGGACCAGCGTTGCAACGAGGAGAGATGGTGGTGCATTCGCTGCTTCTTCCCTACTTCTTCACCAGTTGTGGCGCTGGTTTTCTAGAGGCACTGGTGCAAAGACGAATTAGGTTCAGAAAATTGGGGGTGAAAGCTAGGGCTATGTAAAATGAATTTGGGCGTAAATGGCGTGGGAGGCCGGAGAATGGGTGTAACTAAGGCTATTGCGAAATTACCAACATGTTCATAGTATTAACTCTAGCGACAAATCTGACCACAGGGCTACATTGGCTACAATTGAAACATTTGAGAAACCAATTTAGCAAAATTGACAATGAGGGACTACCACTGCTGGAAATTAGCGTTTTTTCGACCTCATTTCCGACCACCCAAAATTTTGGTCGCAAAAAGTGATTTTTTTTTCATTTTTTCGACGGAGGGTAACCGTGGTCGGAATTTCCGACCACTTTTACGAAGTGGTTGGACTTTCCGACCACCTTTAGAGAGTGGTCGGAAAATTTTTCCGGCACTTCAAATTTTTAAACTTATCTTGTTTCCGACCACCCTTGAAAAGTGGTTGGAATTACCGACAACCAAGTAAAGGTGGTCGGAAATCCTTTTAAAAAAAATTTGTTGTGCTTCAATGGTATGAAGGCCACATAATTTATCTTTTTATTATTGATTATTTCACTCATACTCTTTTTTTTTTTTCCATTTCAACCGACCACGACGCAGAGAGTTTACTAGTTGATACCATATCTCACCATTATTGCTATGAAAAATAAGACGGTGCTGCCATTTCCATGTAGATTTTCTAACTTCAACTCTTTAAAATATTTATTCTTGTTAGGACTCTACAATCCTAGTTCTATTGGGTTTCATAATCCTACATAATGTATTGTATATCATCGTGTATTGTATTGCGTATTATTTTTATCACAAAATACAAACATTCATCTGGTATCAGTAGTATAGGTTTTCTCATGGCATCCGTTCCTGGTGGCTTTTCCACTGTTTTGTCTGAGCGAACCATCTCTAACACTGCTACGATGTCTCCTACACCAGTGGCCATGATTATTGCCCTTTAAATGGCTCATCACGTTGTTTCTGTCAAACTGACATAATGAATTGTATATCATCGTGTATTGTACTATGTATTGTTTTTATCACATAATAAAGACATTCATCATTATAACTTAACAAAAGTTCATATTATATCACTCATAATTTATTAAATATGCTAGAGAAATGTATTATTTCTTTAAACCTTTTCTCTAGCATATTTAATAAATTGTGGGTGATATTGTAAATTGTGAGTGATATAGTATGAATTTTTGTAAAAAACACTAACAACTATTTTATATATATATATATATATATATATATATATATATATATATATATATATAAATAGGTTCAGGTGCGGTGGACAGCCCCGGGTGCGGTTGTGTGGTTAAAACAGAACCATTGATTCTGTTTAAATCAATGTCCAAGATTACCAAAATATTAAAAAAAAATACGGTGGCAATTTGGTAATTTTTGAATCTAGGTCAAAATTAAGGTGAGTGGTTTTGTGATTAAGGTGCGTGAGTCTTGTGCATAACGTGCGTGAGTTTTGTGCTTAAGGTGCGTGGGTTTGTGCTTAATGTGAGTAGTTGTTAAAACTTAAAGTGCGTGGGCTTTGTGCCTAAGGTGCGTGAGATTTGTGCTTAAGTGCGTGGGGTTTGTGCTTAATGTGCGTGAGTTTGTGCTTAAGGTGCGTGAGTTTTGTGCATAATGTGAGTTGTTGGTAAAACTTAAAGTGCGTGGGTTTTGTGCTTAAGGTGCATGAAATTTGTGCTTAAGGTGCGCGTGTTTTGTACTTAATGTGCGTGAGTTTGTGTTTAATGTGAAACATTTTAAAATCTTAAATGCGTGGGTTTTGTGCTTACTGTGCTTTGCTCTGTGCTTAAGATGCGTGGTTTTTGTACTTAAGGTGAGTGATTTGTGTTCTTAAGGTGTTTTGTTTGTGTGCTTAAGGTGCGTGGTGATTTGTGTAATTAAAGTGCGTCATGTTAATGCTTAAGGCGCGTCTAACCGCACAACCACACGGGAACCATGAACCGCAACCATACAAGCTGAACTAACTTATTTAACAAAAATAATATGTTGATCTAGTCTACTCCTACTCTAATATAATGCATGCATGGCTTCTTGTGGCTCTAGATTTTAACAATACCAGTAATTGACCCGTGCGATACACGTAATATATTATATTATATATTCATAAATATTAAAAAATAAATCAAAAATAAAGAAGTCAAAATTTATACTATTTATAATTATTATTATTGTATTTTTGTATAGTTAGACAAAGTTTTTAATTTGCATAATGTTTATATTTGGTATAAATTACATATATAAATTCCTACAAAATTTATAAAAATATTAAATTATTTTTAAAATTATAATCTTTTAATATTAAAAGTGTTCATGTATTAAATTCAAATTTAACTCAAAATTAAAAAGAATTGGATATTTATTCTTCTAACAAAAAAAATTAGAACTTGGCGGTAATTGATTTGGGTTGCCCGTAAAAATTAGAACTTGGCACCTCTATTCTCTTTACTCAAAATTCGCCTTCAATTTGACCAAAATACTCCACCTATCCACAGATTGGCGTCTCCGCTCTCTTCGTTAGCAGCAACCGCAGGCTGAAGCTAAGGTAAGTTCTATCGCTTTCTCCTAACATTGGCGCAAGTGTTAGGGCTACTGAAGCTAAGGTCATTTCTATCTCCTCCTAACATTGGCGCAAGTGTTAGGGCTACTGAGCAATCGTGTCAAGAGGAGGGTGGTGTTGCTAGTCGCCGGAAGTGAATTTCGTTAGGGCTAATGTAGCTAAGGTCAGTTCTATTGACTTTATCTGCTTTATATAGGGAGACATTGAATATTGGACAATTATTTGCTCGAATTCAAACAATGATAACATTAGAAAACATATCGATAGATCCAACTCATTTCATCTATTACACTATATAATATTTGTTGTTATTGTTGACTCAAAGTTTTTTGTCAAAGTTGTGCAAAAAGAATTCCAGTCTATAAAGGAATATCAGTCATAAGAGGAATAACTAATGAAGAATACTAGTTCTAAAGGGAATTGTTATTGAAGTTTTTCTAGTTCTACTTTGATTAGGAATAGCTTTGTTATTCACAAATATGTTAGGAGTAGTTACTATAAATAGGGATTGCCCTTTATTGTAGAACTCAAGCATTCAACATTAATCTTGTGAGGTACTAGAGTCTTTGAGAATAGGATACTAAATTCCCCTAGAAAGTAGTACATGTGTTTAGGTTTCAATTGTTTGGTAGGAAAGATCATTCTATTGTGTAATCTCAGGTTCCAAACAGTGTACTTTAAATATTGAGCTTTTAGTGGATTCAGGCATGTTCTAAAATTGAGAAGTGCCTCGCAGATTAGGGTTTTTTGCCCGAACTGCGTTACAGATCGTTTGTGTTACAACGTCAGTTTCAACATCACTGTGTGCTGTGCTTCTACAAATTTTTTCAATTGGTATCAGAGCCAAACTGCTTAAGTTACTAGCAGGATCCTAATGGAGTTTCCAAGAGAAGGACTATCAAACACAGAAGGGATACAATGCTATGAGTGCAAAGGGTTTGGACACATCCAGTCAGAATGTCCAACATAATATAAAAGGAAGAACAAGCCATACATGACAACATTAAGTGATGACTCAGACAGTGAAGAAGACACCAACACCAATTTCGTAGCATTCACTGCAAATCATGAAAATAACAATGGAGAAGATATACAAGAATTACTAGAGGCATATACTCAACTACATGCCAAATGGGAACAAATCATCAAAATAAATCTAGATCTCATGGAAGAAAATCAGTTTCTAAAAGATGAAAAAGATAGAGGAGTAAAACGCCTTACAGATACTCAGAATGAATTAATGGAGTCGAAAGGCAGAGAGGCCAAACTGTTACAAGAGATCAAGGAACTAACTGAGAGGCCTAGATCTCCAAATCCAGCATCCAATGAAAGTCATTCTTCTGAAATTCCTAAAGTGTCGCAACATCACTTCCAACACCGAAGGAGGATCAGATGTTATTACTGTCACAGACTAGGGCACATAAAAGTATACTGCTTCAAAAGACAAAATGATCTATATTACAGACAAATCAACAGAGATTGGTCAGTACTCAGTACAAAGCAAGAAAATCTGGGTAAGAAAAGATCATAATGTTGCCTACACCTCAAAAACTAGCAAAGAACAAAACGTATGGTATTTTGACAACGGGTGTTCAAGGCATATGACAGGAAATCCAGAAAATCTGGAAAACATTCAATACAAGAATGAAGGACATATTACCTTTGGAGATGGAGGAAAAGGCCAGATCATTGCAAGCGGCATCTTGAATGTCCATGGGCTGCCTAGGTTGCCAAAAGTCCTTTTAGTACAAAGTCTAAAAACAAATCTAATCAGCATAAGTCAACTTTGTGAAGATGAACTCAAAGTAGAATTCTCTAAAGACAATTGCATTGTGTTTAATCAGAACCACAAGTGTGTCATGATGGGAAAAAGGTCCGCAAACAAATGCTATACATGGAACGGTGACCTATCTGGTTTACAGACAACTAACAAACAAAAACAATCACGGCACCAACATATGGGACACATAAATTCTCATGACATCAAAGGGGACCAAGAAATATTCTTAGACTATTCAAGTTATTCATCAAACAGTAAGACCTTCAGTGCAGACAGTACAATGGAATCCATGAATGTGGTTATTAATGACACAATTTCAAGAATAACCACTAATGATGACGAAAGTCCCAGAGTTGTTGAAACAACTGTTCCAACACCTCTGACTACTGTTATGCAAAATCACAAAACAGAAACAGAACCAGATGAAGAAAAGGATGATGGCTCTTGAACGATCATTATGAGCCATGTTCTGATTTCACAGGAACCCTACCAAAATATTCAAGACGAACGCGAACCACCTCCAACCTGTTTGTGCGAGATAGCCCTGGAGGGCGAGGGTGGTATGAAGGTTGCAACAGAGCGTTTTCCGGCGATGATTATGTCACCGGAAATTGGAGAAATTCCAGTTTCGTCTAGGTTATCCCATGAAGATCAAATTGGATATTTTAGAGATCATTTTGAAGAGCTTTCACCGGATTTTTTGTTATTTCCATAAATTAATGATGGCTCAGAATTAGTACGTTCGAAATTCCGGTCAGGAAATCTAGATGCGGTCGTAAGGCAGAAGAGACCGATTGATGGAATCTCAGTGGATTCATGTTTGAATAGCCAGAATACATCTCCGATTAAAAGAATTCTCGACAGATTGTCTCAGCATTGGCGTCGCGCTCCTCCGATGTGCAATTTCCCTTCGGGGTGTCGCGATTGAGGAGAAGTGATGAAATCAAAGGCGTTGGTGGTAATAACAGAGGAAGAATAAATCAGAGGAGAAATTAGCTGTGATAGGCTGATATAATTGGGAATTTTTTTTAAAACAAATCATACTCAACGATAACACTCACCAATAACAGAGATACATGGAATCAATAAAGGGGGAGATGAGTCAAAAAGTCAAAGGTTTTTTTACATGGAATCAATTAAGGGGGAGATGAGTCAGAAGTCAAAAGCTTTTTATGGAATCAAGGTTTTTGCCAAAAAATTGACAAAGGGGGAGAATGTTGACTCAAAGTGTTTTGTCAAAGTTGTGCAAAAAGAATTCCAGTTCTGTAAAGGAATATCAGTCATAAGAGGAATAGCTAATGAAGAATACTAGTTCTAAAGTGAATTGTTATTGAAGTTTTTCTAGTTCTAGTTTGATTAGGAATAGCTTTGTTATTCACAAATATGTTAGTAGTAGTTACTATAAATAGGGATTGCCCTTTATTGTAGAACTCAAGCATTCAACATTAATCTTGTGAGGTACGAGAGTCTTTGAGAATAGGATACTAAATTCTCCTAGAAAGTAGTACATATGTTTAGGTTTCAATAGTTTGGTAGGAAAGATCATTCTATTGTGTAATCTCAGGTTCCAAACAGTGTACTTTAAAATTGAGCTTTTAGTGGATTTAGGCAAGTTCTCAAATTGAGAAGTGCCTCGCAGATTAGGGTTATTTGCCCGAACTGCGTTACAGATTGTTTGTGTTACAACGTCAGTTTCAACATCACTGTGTGCTGCGCTTCTACAAATTTTCAGTTATAATTTATATAATTGTATATCAATCTAAATATTTTAAAATATTACTCCGTATAACAAATCAATTTCGTGCCACGCATGAGTTAAAATACAAATTTGCTTAAGATTTATTTCTTTGGTATAATTGATAAACTAAAATCTTAATGCTACAAAAAAAAAAAGGCTAAAGTGTCATTCCACACCATGAACCATCCCCGATTATTCATGCCGCACCATGATATTTAATAAGTGACATTTAGAGCCGTAAACCGTAATTTATTTTTCGCCTAGAACTTTTTATGGGTTTCCAGGTAATCCCAATGACATGGCACGGTAATAAGCTGATGTGGCCTTCTTTCTCAGTCCATGTGTCCATGTAAGCATTTTAATTAAAAAAAAAAAAAGTTTCCCTATTTCGGATTCTTCGTTTAGGCCATTATTACCGGAAAAGTGGCCATTTGAGAAGACAAGCCGTGGACGCATCCTCTCTCCCTCCCCTGTGCATCTGGGTATGCCTTCTAGTCTTCTATTCTTCTTCATGCATGTTAGTTTTGTTTTGCACACACGAACTAGATTTCATGTTTTCATTACCTAGCTAGTAAAGCATGGTGAAGATCGTAGACATCTTTTCGGTTACAATAAAACAGTAGAAAGATTAATATATATAGGCAGCAAAACTCCATAAATCTATATATACCCAAAAGCTTCTGCCATAAACTTAATTGTGGAAGCAGATCGAGAGGTAGTAATATATATATATATATATATATATATATATATATATATATATATATAAATATAATACTCACAGGCACAACCCAGATAGAAACAGTGTTTATATATATATATATATATATATATATATATATATATATATATAATACTCACAGGCACAACCCAGATAGAAACAGTGTTGTTTTTCAATTGGTACTTGAAATCACCCACCATATCCCTCCCAACAAAACGTTAAAAGGGATGAATAACATTGAGAACAAATAAAATCACCAGAAGCAGCACTAAGATGAGCCAGTCAGTGATGTGTGACCTTGCCACTGTAACTCCATCAGACCTCACACTCTACTGCTCAACCTGGACTTCCCTCATTCTGCTCTCATCTTCTACAAGCACTTCAACACAGGATAATGAAGAATTAAATCCATAATTGAGATTAGCTTGCAGCCAAAGTATGAAAAGAATTTACCATTAGTGCAACAGTGTTAGTGGTTGTTCAAGTTTCTAGAGAATAGCATAGGTTGTAGAATCCGTAACAAAGTTAGCTTCTTTATAGTCTGTGTGCTGTCTTTTGTTGCCAAGAACCATGTGCCCTTTTAATGGTTACTCAGCATCCACTTCCCGGTAGAAATCATGTTCAAAATAATAATCAGATTCACAGGGGAGGGAGAGAGCCTGCGTCAGCGGCGGAGTTCTGGGGACGAAAAAAATAAAATAAAATAATAAAAAGTTCCATGGCAGCATGAGATGACCGGTAACCTGTAAGAAACTTATAAAAAATTCTAGGTGAAAAAAGAATAATGGTTTATGGATCTAAATATCACTTATTAAAGATCATGGTGCGGCATGAATAATCGCGAATGGTTCAGGGTGCGGGATGACACTTTAGCAAAAAAAAAAAAAAATTTGTTCCAAATTTTCACCCCAAATAATTAAAATTGGCACCATTTTCAGATATACCCCAAAAAAAAAAAAAAAAAAAAAAAAAAAAAAAAACTCACAGTACACTTAGCGAAGGTTTTTTTTTTTTTTTTTATTTCCCTCCCAAACAAAAATTTTTGTTCCCTCCCAGTACACCGCTCACACTTAGTGAAACAAAAAATTCAGCGTTTCTCCCTCCCCGGCCTCTGCGTAAATCTCTGCCTCACACGCCGACGAACCAACCGACGTTGTATCTTCCCTCCCTGGCCAGCCGACGCCATTTCTTCCTCCCCGTCCAGCCACCATCGTCGCCGTCGGTCCAACCTCTTCCGGCGTCGCCCCATCCCTCCTCTGTTGCTGTCCCTCTTCCCGGCCTCCTCTGAGAACAATTAAAGGACCAAAAGTGCAATTTTCCCTAATAATAATAATAATATATGCAAATTACATATTGAAGTTATATGTTAGTTATCTCTTAAAACATAAATATCAAATTTATAAAAAAAAACTATATTATTATTATTTACAATAATTTAAATATCTAAAATTTAAATAAATTTAAAATTTTAATATAAAGTATTAATATTTGGCACTTATTTTTTACGCATCGCGCATAAAAAATACTGGTATAAAAATAAGTGTCAAAAAGTATAGTACGTTAAATTAGTCATCAAGATAATATATGTGACAAATTAATTAGAATGGCAGGAGTAATTAATAATATAATAAATGAGATTTTGAAGCTGAGAGTATGGTGAAGGAAAGGCAAGGGTGAACACTGAACAGTATAGCTCCAAGTTCAGCAGTTTGAATACTAGCTTCAACACTAACCATGCGTGCTCACAAGAGTAACTCATTTGGTTTATAGGTGACAAACTGTGAACAAAGACACATGAACGAGCTCTGAAAGATTATAGTGTGAGAATTACACTTAATGTGATAAGTTTTTTATGGACGCCAGACAATCAGACATTAGTCCATCTAATTAATGGACCGCTGAGTCGTCATAATTTATTACATTTACAAATCTTGTAGGGTTAGATGTGGGATTCCGGAGTAAGGAATTTTATCTTTTGCGAACACGTAACAAATTTTCCAACTTCTTAAGTTATCTTCACCCTTGCAATTATGCCCATTGCAATCTTATTTGGCGCTTTGTTTTTGTTTTTGTTTTGTTTTGTTTTTTTTTATTTATTTATTTTGTTTTTCTTTTCTTATTTTAATTTTCACATGGCTCCTTATGTAATAATTTTATAAAAAATGTAATACTTTTACATAAAAATGTAAAAGTAATTATTTTTCTTTATAAGTAATAAACATTTTATTTCTTATTAATATTACATTATTATATTAACGCGACCGGACTTGATCCGTCTCACGAACTGACACAAGTATGACCAAATAGTGATTAATTGTAAAATTGGTGATATGATATTAGGGTCCACTGATGAAAGTGAAATAGATCGAATTCCAAAGGTAATAAGGTGAAGATAGCCTTATATATAGTTGTTGATTGGAGTAGTCCTACACCACACACTAACTACTATACATCTGCAATTAAACTTGTACTATTTCTGAAATCTGAATCATATCAATTGTCTAGCTTAGCTTCTATCCTGATGATGAGGACTTGTAGTTTCAAGCATCCTCAATCTTGTTCCTTTCTTGCTTGGTTTCTGTTCCTTCTGAGTATTATTGGAAACTCAGTAGGGAGCAGCATCTGCATAGAGAAGGAGAGACAAGCGCTTTTGAGCTTCAAACACAACATTTCCGACCCTAATAACCTTCTTTCCTCCTGGACCGATGGAGATGACGACGACTGCTGTAAATGGGAAGGAGTTGGTTGTGACAATAGAACCGGGCATGTGGTTGCGGTTGATTTGGGGCCTAAAACCATGTGCATAAATGAAGCATCATGCACTCCAGACTGGGATTGTGACATCAACCCTGCTATACAAGGTGAAATCAGCCCTTCCTTGCTTGATTTACCATTTCTCAATTACTTGGATCTTAGCTGCAATCAATTTGAAAGAATTCCAAGGTTCTTTGGTTCTCTAGGCAAGTTAGTTCATCTTGATCTTTCTTATAATAATTTTGTTGGAAATGTTCCTCCTCAACTGGGAAATATATCCACTTTAAAATATCTTGACATTGACAACGGCAATGATCAATTAAAAGTAGTTGGCACTCTGGAGTGGGTTTCTCATCTTGATTCTTTGGAGTACCTTAGTTTGGATTCTGTAGACCTTTTTTCAGCTTCAAATTGCCTCGAGTCCATTTCAAAACTTTCTTTGCTGAGAACACTGCATCTATCCTACTTCAACTTTCCTGATCCCTCATCACTTTTGCACCTCAACTCTTCTAGGTTCCTACAACACCTTTCCCTAGACCAAGGAAACCTGACTTCTCCAATACTAAATCTGTGGCTGAATCAAAGTTCCAACTTGATTCAACTGAGCCTTACTGACACCAAATTATATGGTATGGTTCCAAATGTTTTGAACAAAATGCACTCCCTGGAATATCTTGATCTCTCCTTAAATTATCTAGAAGGTGAGAAGATTGAAACCTTCAATTCTTGAGCCATCTTGCCAACTTGAAAATTCTAGATTTGACAAGAAATTCATTCTCTTTCAACTTGTCAGAACTCATTTTAAGTTGTGAGAAAGTGATACAAGTTTTGAAGTTGCGGAGTAACAAAATTGTTGGGTCATTGGATTATATCCACAGGTTTTCTTCCCTAAGAACATTAGATTTAGCAGACAATAAACTTTCCGGTTCATTGCCCGATATGTCAGCAATGTTGTCCCTAAAAGAATTTGTCATTAGCAACAATCGGATGGTTGGAAATTTAACGGGAAGTAACATTGGCCACCTCGCCCGTCTCACTGCACTAGATGTTTCTTCCAACTTTCTAGAAGAAGTCATCCATGAAACCCATTTTTCTAATTTTAGCAAATTGGTGTTTCTTTCCTTATCCAGTAACCAATTCAAATTGAAATTGAGCACCCACTGGATTCCCCCGTTTCGACTATCAATGCTAAGCCTAAGCTCTTGCAAGTTGGGTCCGAAATTTCCTTTCTGGCTTCAAACACAAACAAACCTTGGATACATTGATATCTCAGATAATGAAATTTCGGATATCATTCCTCAATGGCTCTCCAACCTTACCCACTTATCGAGTTTGAATATTTCTAAAAATTGGCTTCGAGGTATTCCACCTGACCTGGCCTCAACATTTTTTGCTATAGACTTAAGTAGCAATTGGCTTAAAGGTCCTATACCAAAAAATTATTCTGGGACAGGTATACTAAACCTTTCTAGAAACAAGTTTTCTGGAACCATTTCTTTTCTATGTACAGATGAATTCAAACAATCAAGACATCTTGACATTTCCTATAATCATTTTTCAGGAAAGATTCCTGAATGTTTGGGGCAATATGCTGGAAATTATCTACAATTTCTGAACCTAGCAAGTAATAACTTCTTTGGAGAAATTCCATCATCAATAGGGTATTTGAATCATATTGTCTCATTACATTTTAGGAACAATGGTTTATTTGGGGGGTTGCCGTTATCTTTGAAAAATTGCACTTCTTTGATAATTTTGGATCTTGGAGAGAATCATTTAACTGGGGGTATTCCGGCATGGATTGGGGAAAGCTTAACAAAGTTAAAGGTCCTTTACCTGCACTCAAATAAACTGAAAGGGTCCATCCCAACTAGTATTTGCCAAATTCAATCTATTCGAATAATAGATTTATCTTTGAACAACTTGTCTGGCTCCATCCCAACTTGCTTCAGTAATTATAGTATTGCTATGTCCGAAACATCTGATGAATGGTTTCAACGCTTTTCAAAAATTGGATATAGTTACTTTCATGGGATACCTACATCCATGCACATTTACTATGATACTGAATTAGTTATGTGGAAGGGAAGAGAGGTTGAGTATGATAAAAATCTCAAATTCTTGAAAGTCATTGATTTATCGAGCAACAGACTAGCAGGAAAAATCCCAGTAGATTTAACAAATCTACATGGGTTGAATTCACTAAATCTGTCCAGAAACAAACTGACAGGGCCCATTCCATACAAGATTGGTGAAATGAATTTGCTAGAGACTCTTGACTTGTCAAGCAATCAACTTTCTGGAAAAATACCAACGAGCTTGACTAATTTATCATTTCTTGATTATTTGGACTTGTCAAACAACAACTTGTCTGGTTGCATTCCACTTGGAACTCAGTTACAAGGGTTCACTGATGAGGCTTATAAGAGGAATCCAAATTTACGTGGGCCTCCACTTTTAACCAAATGTCAAAGCATTAAACAAGCAGGAAATGATGATGATAATATTGAAGAAGATAAACACCTGATTTGGGACTTTGGTTTCTTTGTGAGTATGACTCTTGGATTCATTCTTGGATTTTGGGGAGTGTGTGGGACGTTAATATTCAAACGTTCTTGGAGACATGTGTATTTTCAATTTCTAGAAGACAAAATACACAATATTTACATTGCCATTGTATTCTTTGGAGCCAAATTGAAGAGGAGCATGGGAACCAGATTGAAGTAAATGGTAATCAAAGTTCTACATTTCTCATTTTGAATTTCAATATTTAATTTCCTTTTTAGTAGTAAGTTTAAATTTCCATGATTGGTCATGAAAGAAATTAAAACAATATAAACTTGTGTGCTTCTGTTGCAGGAAGTACGTACACAGTTCATTGGAGTACTTTCACATCATTCTAAATAAAGAAGTTCAATCATTTTGTGCGTGTGTATATTATATATAATACCATTGCAAGAACAGTGTAATTTTAATTTAAGAGTTGTGTGTTTTTTATAATTGACATACTGTAGATGGTGTTTTCGAAACTAGAAGAAGTGTTTCAGATATATAGTAGTTCAGGGGTGATCAAAACTAGAAAAAGTGTTTCAGATATATAGTAGTTCAGGGGTGTTTGTAACGGTAATTCTGTAATATATTCTCTGTAACATTCTTGGTATTATAGTGGATTGGGCTAGTGCATTGGGTGCCCCGCAGACGTAGGAGATAATTCTCCGAACTGCGTTAACAAACTTGTGCGTCAATTTACTTCACTACATTATTTTTTGTTGTTACACAGTTTTTTTTACAATGTGTATGTGTCACTCTACGTAGAAAATTGACAGATAACTCTCTAGATTTCTTTAAGTAAAATAAGTGTTAAGAACATTCCGTAACTTTCATGTTGTATCAAAATGGTGTTGACTTAATCTGATCTGTTAGTTTGATTCTTTGGCTTAATTGCTTAACATTGTTGTTGATCGAGTGTGTCTATCTGGGATATCCTTAGCTTGTTTCTGTTATTACATTCTTGCTTTGAAACTGCATAATGGATGGTGGTATTAACCTCTTTAACTGGTGAGCACCTTGATACATTACAGATCCTGCTGCCCAACTAGTTCACACTACCTAAAGATCAAATTAGTTATATTGTTTCCTTTACTAGTTTAGTTATATTGTTTCCTTTACTAGTTTGGTTATATTTCCTTCATATTTAGTTTAGAAGTTTTAGAATATTATTTCTTTATATCTTTGGTTGTAACTCCTATATATATTGGAGAATATTAATTTGTCAAGTTAAGTTGGAAATTGAATAAAATCAAAAGGAAGTTTCTTCCTCCAACTTCTCCTCTCTTATTCATATCCAGCCACCATAGGTAGACCACCTGCTTCCTCTGTTAACCATAGACCTGTGACGCGTAGTCTATCTACTGAAACATATCATTTGGTTCCCGTTGCCGGCGTCATGGGTACTGAATTGAACGTCGAATCCGCCATCAAAGCTTTACAGAAATCTGTCAAAGCCTTGGAATTGCATCACGAAAAAATCGACAATTTGTCTGCTACTGTTGCTTCCTTATCCACCTCCTCTCACGCCCTGGCCGCTGCTCTTGCGAGATTGGAGAAACTGGTCAACCAACTGCTCACCAGCCAAGGTAAACAACCTGTCCAGGAGGAGGACTCCGTTACTGCTCAAATCGAAGGGGTCTCCACTGCAACAGACATGGGGGATCACCAACCCCGTTTTTCTCCGTATCCTAGGGTGGATTTCCCTTTGTTTTCCGGCGAGGAAGATCCTATGGTTTGGCTTCTTCGTTGTGAATCTTCGTTTCGCCATGCAGGCACACTTGACCAGGACCGTGTTCCGCTAGCTGCACACCACATGATTGGTGAGGCACAACTATGGTACCACTCTGAAACTGCAGTTTCTCCGTTTACTTCCTGGGCCTCGTTTAAGGAAGAGTGTTGCTTAAGTTTTGGACCTCCCCGTAGCCTTAATCCGCTGGGCGAATAAGAGTTGCTCTTTCAAACGGGCAGACACATTGATGACTATATCAAGGACTTTCGGGCTCAACTTGCTCGTGCTGGCACAGTGCTCCCTGCCCAGCGTATCGATCTTTTTATTGGTGGTCTAGACGAAGTGCTTCGTATCGATGTCCAACGGACCAAACCAGGTTCTCTTAATGAAGCTATGAATACTGCCCGGGATTTCAATCGTAAATGCCACCTCTTGCGCCTCTTAACAGCCGAACCACCCAACAAATTACCTGTCCAAGCTTCACGCCCTCCAACAGCCCGTTTTTCCCCACCCCCTAAATCGTCTCCAAGCCACACCAACTCCTCTCGCCCTCCGTTTAAGTTTCTATCTCCAGCAGAAAAAGTAGACAGAGATGCCAAAAAGTTATGTTATAATTGTGATGAGCTATTTTTTCCAGGTCATAAATGCCGCCACCTTTTTATGTTGTGGACATTAGAGGATGGTGAAGAACCCCCTACTTGGCTTGCATCCACGGAGATGAACGCACGCGATGGAATCACCTGAATTCAACTTGAACGTTGTCACCTGCTTCAAGCTTGAGGACAAGCTTGATCTCCAGGAGGGGTGTAATGATACATTACAGATCCTGGTGCCCAACTAGTTCACACTACCTAAAGATCAAATTAGTTATATTATTTCCTTTACTAGTTTAGTTATATTGTTTCCTTTACTGGTTTAGTTATATTTCCTTCATATTTAGTTTAGCAGTTTTAGAATATTATTTCCTTATATCTTTGGTTGTAACTCCTATATATATTGGAGAATATTAATTTGTCAATTTAAGTTGGAAATTGAATAAAATCAAAAGGAAGTTTCTTCCTCTAACTTCTCCTCTCTTATTCATATCCAGCCACCATAGGTAGACCACCTGCTTCCTCTGTTAACCATAGACCTGTGACGCGTAGTCTATCTACTGAAAAATATCACACCTACCATGGTTATTATTGGAAGGCAAGGATTCAGGTCCATCATCAAGCACAAGGTGAACATGTTTGGAGTATTGTGGTTAACGGGACAAATTATATCATGATCCAAAGTCTACCTCGCATTGTGGAATATGGTCCAAAAATAATTTTCAGATTCTGTACCTGCAATTAACCGTTTTCGTACCTGTAAACAAATTGAAGTTACATCCTTTTGATTATTCTTCAATATTTAAATGGGAGTAGGAGCTGCTTTGAGAATGAGAGAAATTAAATGGTCTTCTAAGCTTCAAACATAGCATTATTTTGACCTATTCAGCTCTCTTTCCTCATGGGGAGCCAGTAGAGATGATGATGATGACTGCTGCAAATGGAAAGGAGTTGGTTGCTTGTGATAACACAACTACTGCCCATGTTGTTGCTCTTCATTTGGGGGATGGCAGCTTAAGTGGTGAGATCAGCCCTTCCTTGCTTCATTTATAGTTTCTCAATTTCTTTGATCTTAGTTGCAATAACTTTGAAAGAATTCCGAGTTTCATTGGCTCTCTCCACAACTTGGTCTATTTTAATCTTTCTCATAATAAGTTGTTTGGAAATGTTCCTCCTTATCTGGGAAATATTTCCACTTTGAAATATCTTCGCATTGGCAACAACTACATTACTGATGGTAATATTTAAAAGTAGTTGACACCTTGGAATGGATTTCTCATCTTTCTTCTTTGGAGTATCTCAAAATGGATTATGTAGACCTTCATTATATTCTGTTTCAGTCTTTCAGATTTGCTTCAGTCAATTTCAAAGCTTTCTTTGCTAAGAACACTAAGCCTATCTTCCTGCCTTGTTCCAAGTCCTCCATCACTTTTGCACATCAACTAACTCTTCTGGCTTCCTAGAACACTTGTCTTTACACTATGGCAATATAACAACATTTCCCCTACTGAATTTGTGGCTAAACCAAAGCTACTACCTTGAATATATATCTTGACCTACCTCTCCCATAATTCTTTGGTAGGTGACGAGGACAAGGACATAAAATTCTTGAGACATCTCGACAAGTTGAAAATTTTAGATTTATCGTCCAACTCTTTTTCGATCATGCAATGCATATAAACAAAAATGTTTGGAGAGAAAGCGCATTACACTCAACACACAATTATCATTTCTTGCAAGCTTGGACTTGTCAAATAATAACTTATCTAATTGTATTCCACTCAACAAACAATTACAAGGCCGGGTTCACAAAAGCTTTTCGAACTCGAACTTGAGCCAACCTAGGTTCGAGCTCGGCTCGGCTCATTTGCACCCTAGCTCAAACCAATAAGGCTAATAAATAGCTCCGACTATGAGAGTCAAATTTGGAACCCCATAATTATTAAGTCAATTGTTTGGTCAACTTTGCGTATCTGAAAACGTAGAACATGATGTAAAGTCCTAAACCGGTTGAAACCGGAAAAATAACAAAAGAAAAATATGAAGAGACAAAAATGTGCTTACTAAAAATATGAAAAGTCATGAAAATGACTAAAAGTGTCCAAAAAAAATAATAGGCTGGGGATGTTAAATGGCAAAAACGCCAAAGACAATAGACTTTGGTGGAATTAACACGTGTAAATATAATGCTAAATCACAAGATATGAAATGCAAATCGTACATGTAATAACTTAATGTTTGAGCCGTCCTGGGGCGACTTAATGTTTGAGCCGTCCTGGGGCGACTACGTACTATCCATAATAATAAGTTATGGCGGCAGAGAATATTTGAAGACAAATAATATGGCACCAAGCTAAGGATGTATATAGCTAGTGTGAATAACATTTTAAGATACTCATGCAATGCATGTAAAAACAAAGAAATAATGATTGGAGATCGAGAAAACACATTAACAAACCTTAACTCTGTTCTTAGACAGGTACAAAATTCCAAATATGCAAAACAGTAGCTATATATTCAAGTTTAATCGAAAACTTCTATGATATTTTGTGTTATGGTATGATTTGGTATCACCAGTTTTTTTTTTCCTTTTTTTTTTTTGTATTTCGTAAAATTATATAAATTATATAAATTTATCATATAATTTGTTGAACATATGTAATAATTACGAAAGACACTGTAAATACTTTTTGCAGTTTTTTTTTTTAATACCGTATCCTCACAGTTGCAAAATTAATCCAGTTCCATTGAAATTATATACTCCGTATGAATTTATAGTTTTGATGAATAATAGACCAATCTAATATTACATAAATATTAGATATTCTTACAATTTTTACTCCCTCAATCACGATTGGATGATGTAAGATATATTAAATATAATATAATATATCTATAATATATATTAAATATAATATATCTATATATTATATTTATATATATTGAGAAGAGAGAGAGAGGAATAGATAAGTGATTTGATTGATGAATAAAATGCTTGATAACAAAACTATTTATAGTGAAGGATAAACTAGTAAAGCTAGAAAATAGGGAAAATAATACTCCATGCATTGCAACCATGATCCACGTACTGTTGCCTCAGTTTCTCCACATGTATTGCCACATTCCAACTAAACTACTCCAATTGCATGCATGACACACATACTTAGTTTGATAATGCCATTAATCCCATTTATTGCCACCCACACTTGGTTTAATAATTATAATAATAATATTATTATAACATTGTCTCCTTTAAACCAAGTTGGATATATTGGTCATTCCAATTTCCTTCTTCAATTTGAGAAATGTCTCTGTCTTCAACGGTTTCGTAAAGATATCTGCAACTTGACATTCACTTGAACAATACTCAATGTTGATTTGCTTTTCAGCAACCAACTCTCTGATTTTGTGATACTTGATATCAATATGTTTGTTGCGACCATGAAAGACGGGATTTTTGAACAACAAAATTGCTGACTTGTTGTCACAAAAAATAATTGTATGTGCTTCCTGCTCGTGTTGTAGGAACTCCAAAATTCTCCTCAGCCAAACTGCTTGAGTAGCACAGTTTGCTGCTGCAATATATTCTGCTTCTGCGGTTGAAAGTGCTACAATCTGCTGGTTCTTTGAAGACCAAGAAAATATGGCTGAAACAAGATAGAAGGCATATCCTGATGTGCTTTTTCTGGTCTCATCATCTCCAGCCCAATCACTGTCTGTTTTACCCAACAAGCTTCACAGCTTCATTTGTAGAGTAAAAATTTCATCATTACTCGTACCTTTGACATATCTCAAAATTCGCTTTGCTGCAGCCCAATGTGATTCTTTTGGTTCCTCCATGAATCTGCTAAGTATCCCAACTCCAAAAGAAATTTCTAGCCTTGTTGCCACCGGATACCTCAGACTTCCAATTAAACTTTTATAAGCTGTAACATTCACATTCTTACCACACTCATCTTTGGACACCTTTAACTTTTCAGCTAACGGAGTCGAAACTGGTTTGGAGTTTTCCATTTTGAACTTTTTCAAAATATCAGCAGCATACTTCTTTTGTGAAATAAAGATTCCACCATCCATCTGAACAACCTCAAGGCCAAGAAAGTAAGACATAAGGCCCATATCAGTCATTTCAAACCTCTTAATGAGTGCCTCCCTGAATTCTGAGATTAGCTTCAAGTTATTTCCAGTAAAAACCAAATCATCAACATATAGACATATTAGAACAATATCACCAGAATTCGTGCATTTGACATACAAAGTGTGTTCATGAGGACATCTCATAAAATCACTTTCAACAAAATATGAGTCAACGCAACCATACCACGCCCTAGGCGCTTGCTTTAAGCTATATAAGGTTTTTCTCAACCTGTACACTTTATTTTCCTCCCCTTTTTTCAGAAATCCTGCAGGTTGCTCAACATATATTTCTTCTTCAAGAAAACCGTTCAAAAAAGCAGACTTGACATCCATTTGATGCAATTTCCAATCATTTTGAGCAGCAAGAGAAATAACCATTCGAACTATATCAAGTCTACTTACTGGAGCAAAAACCTCAAAATAATCAATACCTGGTTTCTACTTGTAACCTTTTGCTACCAACCGTGCCTTAAAACGGTCAATTTCTCCATCTGACTTGTACTTCGTTCTGTAAACCCACTTCACTCCAATTTGGCTTCTTTCCTGGAGGTAAATCTGTTAACTCCCAGGTACCATTCTTTTCAATGGCATGTATCTCCTCATCCATCGCCTTAAGCCAATGAGTTTCTGTAGCAGCCTCCTCAAAAGATAAAGGATCACAATCTGCAAAGAGGGCAAATTGAACAATCTCTTCATCAGACAGGTCATTATCATGACCCAACACATAATCCTGCAAGTGAGCTGGTAAGTGGCGCTCGCGCTGAGATCGTCGAACTGACGGCTCTGGCTATTGTGTAGGAGGCTGGACATTATCTGGAATCGGTTGCTCTTTAGCAATATTTTCAACAACAGGAATAACAACTGAACTGTCATCTTTAGCTAACCAATCCCAAGCACCATATTCATTAAAAGTGACATCACGACTTATAACAACCTTTTTAGTTTCAGAATTGTATAGTTTATAAGCCTTTAAAGCGTCACTGTAACCAATGAATATGCACTTCTCACCTTTATCATCCAACTTCTTTCTCAATGGATCCGGCACGTGTTTATATGCCAAACACCCAAAAATCTTGAGATATTTGATAGAAGGTTTTTTCCCACTCCAAGCTTCTTCGGGTGTCTTATCACGGACACTTTTAGTTGGGCACTTCTAGTTTCATGTATCTACAATCTTTTTCTTTTCTTGCATGGTTTCTGTTCCTTTTGAGTACTACTAGAACTTAAATGGGAGCAGCATCTGCATAGAGAAGGAGAGACAAGCCCTTTTGAGCTTCAAACACAACATTTCTGACCCATATAACTTTTTTTCCTCATGGACTACCGGTGCAGATGATTGCTGCAAATGGAAAGGAATTCGCTGCGACAATAGAACCGGCCACATCATTGGTCTTGATTTCGGACCTAAAGCCTGGGGCACCGATGGAAAAGTATACTACTGCATAGAGTTACAAGGTGAAATCAACCCTTCCTTGCTTGACTTACCATTTCTCCGTTATTTGGATCTTAGTTGCAATCAATTCGTACGAATTCCAAGGTTCATTGGATCTCTAGGAAAGTTAGTTCATCTTGATCTTTCTCATAATTTTTTTGTTGGAAATGTTCCTCCTCAATTGGGAAATATTTCCACTTTAAAACACCTGGACATTGACAATGACAATGAACAATTAAAAGTAGTTGGCACTTTGGAGTGGATTTCTCATCTTTCTTCTTTGGAGTACCTTGTTTTGCATTCCGTAGACCTTCATTCAGCTTCAGATTGGCTTGTGTCAATTACAAAACTTCCTTTGCTGAGAACACTACGTCTTTCTTACACCTACTCTCCCCATCCTACATCACTTTTGCACCTCAACTCTTCTAGGTTTCTTGAAGACCTCTCTCTGTCCCAAGGAAACCTAACTTGGCCGCTAATAAATCAGTGGTTGAATCAAAGTTACAACATGGTTCAACTACGCCTTAGTAACATTGAGTTACATGGTAAGGTTCCAGATTTTCTTAACAGAATGTACTCCCTAGAATATCTTGGTCTCTCCGGTAATTTTTATCTAGAAGGTGAAAAGACTGAAGACCTTAAATTCTTTAGCAATCTTAGCAACTTGAAAGCACTAGATTTGTCATTCAACTCATTTTCTTTCAACTTTTCAGAACTCAGTTTGGGTTCTGAGAAAGTGATAGAGAATTTGAGGTTTGGTGAAAATGAAATTGTAGGATCATTGGATGATATCAAAAGGTTATCTTCCCTACGAATATTAGATCTGTCCAACAATAAACTTTCCGGTTCACTGCCCGACATGTCAACAATGTTGTCTTTGGAAGCCTTAGTCATTAGAAACAATCAGTTGGTTGGAAATTTAATGGGGAGTAACATCGGCCACCTCCCCAATCTCTGGGCACTAGATATTTCTTCAAATTTGCTAGAAGAAACCATGTATGAAGCTCATTTTTCTAATTTTAGCAAATTGGAGTATCTTTACTTATCTGGTAACAAATTCAAATTGAATTTGAGTACCCAGTGGATTCCCCCATTTCAACTCTCAGTTCTTGGCCTAGGATCTTTCCAGTTGGGTCCGAAATTTCCTACTTGGCTTCAAACACAAGCAAACCTTGTATACCTTGATATCTCAAGTAATGGAATTTCATATTTCATTCCTCAATGGCTTCCCAACCTTACGGACTTATGGAGTTTGAATATGTCTCACAACATGCTTCGGGGTATTCTACCTGACTTGGCCTCAACACTTTTTGTTGTAGACTTAAGTAGCAACTGGCTTGAGGGTCCTGTACCAAGGAATTATTCCGGAACAAAATTTCTAAGTCTCTCCAGAAATAAGTTCTCTGGAACCATTTCCTTTCTATGTACAGATGAATTCAACAGATGTATGCATCTTGACCTTTCAAGTAACCACTTTTCAGGAAAGATTTCTAAATGTTTGGGGAAATATGCTAGGGATTCCCTAAGGTTTGTGAACCTAGCAAATAATAAATTCTCTGGAGAAATCCCGTCATCGATAGGCTATTTGAATATGATTGCCTCGCTACATTTAAGAAACAACACTTTAATTGGAGAGTTGCCCTTGTCTTTGAAAAATTGCAGTGATTTGAAAGTTTTGGATATTGGAGAGAATCAATTAAGTGGGGGTATTCCTGAATGGATTGGGGAAAGTTTAACAAAGTTGAAGGTTTTTTATTTGCACTCAAATGAGCTAAAAGGATCCATCCCAAAGAGTATTTTCTTACTGCAATCCATTCGAATCTTAGATCTATCTTTGAACAACTTATCTGGATCCATCCCAACTTGCTTCAGTACTTACAGTACTGCAATGTCTAAATCATATGATGAATGGTTTCAACACCAATCACGATATGGATTTAGTATCCTTAAAAATGGGCTACTTTCTTTCCCCCATACTTTCTATGATTACGAATTGGTAATGTGTGTTGGCTAAGCTAACATTCAGAACGCGAAGAAGAAGAGAGCGTTTTATTCCATGTGAGAATGAAAAGAATTAACTGTTTCAATACAGAGAAGCTGGTAGAAGAGGGATTATATACACGGTTATGGTGTAACCGTTCCTAACAGACTTGGCAAGGTGATATTACACAAAAGCCCTTCGGCAGTTTTACATTATCAACGCTTTCTCATAATACCCCCCCCCCCCCCCCGTAAACTGGAGTGTGAAGGTCCTGAACACCCAGTTTAGACACGAATGTTTGAAAGGATGAAATAGGGAGGGCTTTAGTGAAGCCGTCTGCAACTTGAGCAGAGGAGGAAACAGATAGAAGCTTGATGACGCCTTGGTTAAGCTTCTCTCGCACAATGTGGCAATCAATGTCCAAGTGTTTGGTGCGCTCGTGGAACACGTGGTTCTCTCCGATGGCAATTTCCGACTTGTTGTCGCAAAATAGAGCAGCTGGCTTATGTAGGCGTATTCGCAGGTCACGCAGCAGCGTCGTAATCCACTGAATTTCACAGACGGTGGCTGCGAGTGCACGATATTCCGCCTCCGATGATGAACGGGAGACGGTGGCTTGCTTCTTCGACCTCCACGATATTAAGGCTGAACCAAGGAAAATACAGAATCCGGTTATTGACCGGCGAGTGTCTGAGCAAGAACCCCAATCGGAGTCTGAGAAGACATTGAGATGCATGTCGTTTAGTTTAGGATAGAACAGGCCCTGGCCAGGAGCCTTCTTGATATACGGGAGAACTCTATGTGCAGCTGCCAAATGTTCAGTCGTTGGTGCATCAACGTACTGGCTGAGCTGTTGGACGGCAAAAGTTATGTCCGGTCTAGTCGCAGTGAGGTAGAGTAAGCGGCCAACAAGCCGCCTGAAACCAGATGCATCACTGAGAATGGTACCACCGTCTTTAGTGAGTCTAACACCAGGCACCATGGGAGTGTGAACAGGTTTACAGTCAGTGAAACCTGCTTCGTCGAGAATCTCAAGGGCATATCGCCTTTGGCATAAATTTAATCCAGATGCCTCCATTCGAGCTTCAATTCCCAAGAAATACCCCAAGGATCCAAGGTCCTTAATATTGAATGTTGTATGCAGGAAGGCTTTCAATTCCCCTATCAACTACAAACTGGAACTTGTGACAAGTATGTCATCAACATATATAAGAACGGCCATGAAATCACTGTCTTCACCCTTTGTAAATAGAGACGGGTCAGAAACAGATTGAGTGAAGCCTCTTCGGATCAAAGCGCTGCTGAACTTGGCATTCTACTGCCGGTTGGCTTGCTTCAAGCCGTATAGGGATCGAAGTAACCTGCACACTTGCCCCGGTTTGTCGCTTTGAAACCCTGGTGGTAAGACCATGTAGACCTCCTCGTCTAAATCTCCATGGAGGAATGCATTATTGATGTCTAATTGGTGGATGTGCCAATTCCGAGAAGTTGCCATAGCTAGGAAAGTTCGAATTGTGGTGATCCTAGCAACCGGGGAGAAAGTTTCAATATAGTCTACCCCTAGTTGCTGAGTGTAGCCCTTGGCTACGAGTCGAGCTTTATGGCGTTCGACTGATCCATCAGCTCTAAGCTTCACCTTGTAGACCCACTTGCATCCTATAGGGTGCTTCCCGGGAGGTAGATCAACAACAGTCCAGGTGTTGTTCTGTTGTAATGCTTTGATCTCTGAATCCATTGCCTCTTGCCAACACTTATGAAGTATGGCTTGCTTGTAAGTACGTGGCTCATCAATTGAAGTAACTGCCAAAGCAAATTTTTGGTGTGGCAATGGAAGATGATTGTATGATATGACCTTAGAGAGAGTGTGAGGGGATGACCTTTTTACCATAGCAGAGTCACAGTAATAATCCATAAGCTTTGTTGGGGCATGGCGACGGCGATCTGATCTTCTTGGTTGTATAACAACCTCTTGGCCAGTGTGGTTGTCTTCTGGGTCATAGGATATGCCAGGGTCCGGTGGTTCAATAGGAGTATTGGAAGCAGCAGGTTCATGTGATGCATCGTAATCTGTTGAGGCATGATAATCTTCAATACCTGCTGGTCCATAGAGCTTGCTGGACCATGAGTATGTTGACTCTGATCAGAGGACCCCAAATCAAGATTTAAAGAGGCTGGCAGGTTGGGCAGTGATGGTTCTTTTGAAGGCTGCTGTTCTGAGTTATCTCTGTCTGACATGGGAAAAGAGGATTCATAGAAGACCACATCCCTTGACACAAGAATAGAACCATTAGTCAGATTATATAGCAAATAACCTTTGATTCCAGCTGGAATGCCCAGAAATATACACTTCTGTCCTCTTGCTGCCATTTTATGCCTATTTGTGTTGAGGGTGGCAGCATAACATAGACAACCAAACAACCTAATGTTGCTGATATCCGGATCACTCCCATACAACCTCTTGTAAGGACTTGAAAGCTCAATGACAGGTGATGGAATCCTGTTTATAATGAAGACTGCATGCATAATACAATGTCCCCAAAAATTTAAGGGTAGATTGGCTTGAAACTATAAAGATCTAGCAACATTGAGGATGTGTTGATGTTTGCGTTCGACAACGGCATTTTGTTGCGGTGTATGCACACAAGATCGTTGATGAATGATCCCCTTTTCTAAGAAAAAACTGTCCATTTTAAATTCTGCCCCATTGTCAGTACGGATTGTTTTGTTCAAGGTGCCAAATTGAGTGAGGGCATAGGCATGAAAATTTTTGATGAGCTGTCTTGTCTCAGATTTACGCTTCATTAAGTGGATCCAAGTAAATCTAGAATAGTCATCAACTATTGTCAAGAAGTAATAATCTCCATTTAAAGAGCAAATGGGAAAGGGTCCCCAAATATCAATATGAATCAAATCAAAGCATGCTTTTGAAGTAGAAACACTTATTGGGAAGGGGGAATGTTTATGCTTAGCTAGGTGACATACATCACATGCAACATTCTTATTTCTAGAAATATCTATATCACATAAAAGATGGAGCTTATTCATTGGAAGGTGCCCCAGTCTCTTATGCCAAATTTCTAGACTGATGCACTGCATAACATAGTTTTTGGTTCCCTTGGATGGTTGCATCAAATATAGGCCTCTTTCCTCTTTAGCTAATCCAACTATCTTCCCAAGATTCCCCTGAATCAAACACTGTTTGGACATAAAAGTCAGTTTATAAGCAGCATCACTAATCAACTTGCTCACAGAAATGATGTTGAACTTGAATAGGGGGATGTATAAGGCTTCTTTCAACCATAGAGTGTCACTAAACCTCACATCTTCTATGTGTTTGACTGAAACACACTGTCCAGTAGGGAGATTAACTTCAACTCCAATAGCCTCATGGCAGTTATCAAGAAGATCAAGAGAGGAGACAATATGGTTTGTAGCTCCTGAGTCAAGAATCCATGTGGAATTATTTAAAGAGAGAGAGTTAACCAGATACCTGCTTTCAGATGTGTGTGAATCATCAAATCGAGGAGACAATGTGATAGCAGCAGATAGATTTGAGCCGGATGATGCAGCTGGTTGACTCATTTGATTATGCAAATAGGAGAGCATCTTCTGCAGTTGCTCATGGGAGAAACCAAGATCTCCAGCAGTGGTCATGGCAGTTGTAGCTTGTTGTTGCTTAGCTTTGGACTTGTAACCCGGCACCCAACCGGGAGGGTAACCGTGCTTCTTATAGCACTTGTCGATTGTGTGTCCAGTCATTCCGCAATAGGTACACTTTGCTTTCACCACATTGTTTCTTCTGCCATTAAAGGAGCCAGGAATGGCTGCTACTGTCTCATCATTCATGGAGCTTTGTACAGCATTGGCTTGAACAACATCTGCCCCTGCTAGACTCAAATTAGTTAAGGCAATTTGCCTTTCCAATTTTTCTGCCATGACAAAAATCTTATAGACCTCTGGTAAGGGATCTAGGACAAGCACACTAGTTCTTAGGCTATTGTAATCATCGTTGAGCCCCTGTAGAAATCGAATAACTTGATCAGTCTCTCTTTCCTTCCTGATAATTTCAGCAAGGTCAGAGCTACACCTGGGATCACACTTGCAAAGAGGAATCGGTCGCAAAGTGTTCATTTCCTCCCACAAGGTTCTGCACCTAGTGTAATACTCGCTGACGGACAGAGATCCTTGTTTTAGACCATAGATTTCAGTCTGCAAGCTCGGAATCTTCTGTGCGTCCTGTTGCGAGAACCTCCGTCTTAGGTCCTCCCAGATGCTCTTCGCGTTGTCAAGATGCAACACGCTTTGTGCTATGGAGGGATGCACTGACTTAAAAATCCAAGAGCAGACCATTAGGTTGCATCTTCTCCAAGCGGCGTAGAGGTTGTGTGCCTTGCCCGGAGGTGGAGTGCTCCCATCGACGATCGTCCACTTGTTTTTGACTTCCAAGGCGATCTTCATAGACACGCTCCAACTGCCGTAGTTCGCACTTCCAGTCAACGCCGGACTGACGAGAACCACAGATGTGCTATCACTAGAACTGATGAACAGAGGATTCTCCAGTTCGTAGATGTAGTTCCTCTCGGATCGAAAGGGACTCTCACACGGAATCGATCCTGGAGCAGTTTGGCCTGGTGTTTGCGCGATCGGAGAGGCCGCATTCGTTCCTTGGCTAGTTTCACCGGCACCGGTGACGGCGGTGGCGTAAGTGGTACGCCACTGCTCTGATACCATGTTGGCTAAGCTAACATTCAGAACGCGAAGAAGAAGAGAGCGTTTTATTCCATGTGAGAATGAAAAGAGTTAACTGTTTCAATACAGAGAAGCTGGTAGAAGAGGGATTATATACACGGTTATGGTGTAACCGTTCCTAACAGACTTGGCAAGGTGATATTACACAAAAGCCCTTCGGCAGTTTTACATTATCAACGCTTTCTCCCAATAATGTGGAAGGGAAAAGAGGTCGAGTATGATAAAAATCTCAAATTTTTGACAATCATTGATTTGTCTTGTAATAGATTGGTTGGAAAAATTCCAGTAGATTTAACAGATCTGCATGGGCTAGTTTCACTAAACCTATCAAGAAACAATCTGACTGGATCCATTCCATACAAGATTGGTCAGATGAAGTTGCTTGAGAATCTCGACTTATCAAACAATCAAATTTACGGGCCAATACCAATGAGCATGGTTAATTTATCATTTCTCGCCTACTTGGACTTGTCAAACAATAACTTGTCCGGTTGCATTCCACATGGCACTCAGTTACAGAGCTTCAATAATGAGGCTTATAAAGGGAACCCAGAGCTACGTGGACCTCCGCTTTTGACCAAATGTCAAAGCACTGAACAAGGAAATGTTCCAAGGTCACAAGGAATAGTTGAAACTGAAGAAGATGAAAACCGGATTTTGGACTTTGGTTTCTTTATCAGTATGGGGATTGGATTCATTCTTGGATTTTGGGGAGTGTGTGGAACATTAATACTTAAAAGTTCTTGGAGACATTGCGTTTTTCAATGTTTGTAAGACAAAAAAGACAAACTCTATCTTGTCTTTAATTTGTTGTCTATTGGAAACAAATTGAAGAGGATCTTGGGAGCCAAACTCAAGTAATTAAAGGTAATTAAAATTTCAAATTTAATATTTCCCGTCTATTCCTATTTCTTCTCATCCGTCCTCTTTATTGCTTTATCTTGAATTAGTTTAGCATCTTCTAACCTAGGGTTTCATCCTCGTTCCTAATCATCTGCCTAGGTTCTTATGGCCAACGTAGCGCAGCGATGTTCCAAACAACAGGGGTCGAATTCTGGTGTGGAAATTTGAGGTATATATTTACTATGTGTTTCCTTTTCGTTGTCGCTGAACTATTCGACCATTGTTTTTTCATGGTTGTATTTAGGCCCTGTTTGGTAAATGATTATTAGCTGATAGTTGTTAGCGGTTAGCTGATTGAGTGAATTAGAAGGTATAAGTGTATAACTAGTTGATAACATTAGCTGATTGTAGAGAGTTGTTTGGTAAATTAGTTGTTAGCTGATGATAATTGTTTGATATAATTTCTTTTTTCAAAAATCTAATTGAAAAAGTTGCTTTGAGTAACTTTTTGAATTTTAGCATTTTGGAGTTATAAAAAGCTAATTAACCAAACACTTATATTGATTTTTTAACCAAGTCAAAGAGCTAATAGTGGTCAAATAAGTCAAAATTGACCTATAGGCTAACTATTTTACCAAACAGGGCCTAAGTATTTTTCAGTGGGCATTTTGTTTTTGGTGTTGAGTATTTGGTGGCAAAACACAGAACTCGTTTGGTGGTTCTTGGTGGCATGGCGAGGACGGGGTGTGGGCGTTGGGTTTGGTGGCGGACTTGGAATGTACACCTTGTCGGTGTACTCTGTATGGCAGTGGGTGGTGTGACAGTTGAGGTTCTGGGTTATTCTTTGCCTTTTCGTTCTATTTTTTCGGCCGTTTTCCAGGTTTTTGGTATGCCAGTGATTTCTTTGGTTTGGTTAGTATGAATTGGTGGTTTCTATGGTTTTGGGTTGTAGGAAATACTTGGTCACGCATGTATGGACAATGAGTGTCCATTTTTTTTTCCAATACTAGGTTTATTTTTTTGTCGGAATGCATGTGGTGTCGTTATCTGTGCTTTTAAGTGTGGGTGGGATCCACCATTGTCGCTGGAGTTGTATGTTTCTAGGTGTGGTCTTGGAGGGAGGGGGTGTGCATTTGTTTTCTACACTATGTGCAGTCATAAGGGTGTCGACGTTAGTGTGGTTATTGGGTGGTAAGGACCACCTCACCGCTAGCGTTGACAATTATACATTATGGATTCATGTGGGAGATGGTTTAGGATGTGTGGTCCAGGGTGTTGGGTGGGCGTGACTTGCCTGTTTTTTGCATGGTTGGTACAGTACTATAATGTCATTGAGTTTCTGTAGTAATTTAATTATGTTAGAATGCATGTCTTGTGGGTATTTGGGCTTAAAAGGGTTATTTGCGAAGCACCCTTGGCCTTGGGAGCTAAATGGGGTTTGTTGGGGTGCCAATTTCTTCTTGTCCCTAGCGTGGGTTCTGTGCTCATTGTATTTGTGAGTTATAGGTATTGTGTATTAATTGTGAATGTCTTTGGGTAGGTTGGTGGGAGAGTATTGCTTTGGTGTGTGTTTCTGGGGTGAAGGGGTAGTGATGGGTATTGTTATTGAATTTGTGCAACTATGAGCTAAGCATTGTGCATTCCCTCAATGTATGGGTAACATGTGGTATCATATTCATATGTGCAGGTAAGAAGTCTTGTATTTCTTAGAGCTGGGGTCAGACCCAATGCAGCACAGGGAATGATGACTTCATGACCTTTAGTCCTCTATGTTGGAGTTCTTGCGACGCTTACATTCCGACCCCCATTGGCTAGCTCTGTATTACGAGCTCGCTGAGGAAGAAGTTGCAAGGTATCTAAGCATGACCCACGATAAAAAGATAAGAAGTTGGTTGTGGCGATCAAAAACCTCAATGCACGATAGAGGGAGGTTGTTATAGAGATAGGGTTCGGGTAGCTCTTTCATCTTCAGGTTATGGACAAACCACAACATGCGACATTGATTACTCTCTAACTTTGATCCTGATAGCATGTGTTTGAGGTTGATCCTGATAGCATGTGTTTGAGGTTGGAGAATGGGTCATGCTGCCGATCTTGGAGGAAGATGTCTAGGCTACTCTTGGTCTGCTACGGGGAGACACTGAGATCACGAAGCGTGGGAAGCATGATGTGAGCGTCACGTTGTTGGCATGGAAGGAGTTGTTTGGGAAGTCTGGCAACAAGATCACACCTGCAACGATCTGTCACGAGTTGGTCAGTTATTTAGATGGGGACGTGTGGTTCAAACGCCACTTTGTTGTCTTTGTTTTCAATACCATTATTTTTGGCATGCAAAACGGCTATGCGAACCAACTCATTTTCCAACACCTTGAAGATGTTGACAAGATTAAAGAGCTCAATTGTTGCAAGTACTTGTTGGACTGTTTGGTTGAAACTTAGGGTGAATGGGCACATAACACCAACAGTTCACAAGCCCCTTTCTTTTCTTAATGGTAATCCACTTAACTCTTTATCATACTTACTAAGTGGTTGTGGCATATGAATTTTTCGAGTGTGTGCAGGTGCTTTATGTTGATTGTGTTGCAACAAGGAGTAGGTTTTTTCCACGGTTGGTGCCTTCCATTTATAGTTGGACTACCAAATTGATGAGGGCTCATGAGTTTTCAAAGATCAGGAGTGCTAGCATAGCTTTGGGAAAGGTCTAATTGAACCTCAAGTTGGGGATGGTGTTGATGGTGCAGGGAATGTTCCAGTGCAGCAGGTGGGAGATGGAGCACCTCCCCACTTTTCAGTTCAAGACGGAGCGGGTGGTGATTGTGGTGGGACATCTCGAGGTGCTGTGTCGACAGTGCAAGAAACGACGAAGGTATTATTTTTGTACACTTGCACATTTATGGTGCTCTCTTTTACTTGCCAGTGCACACATATGTATTTGTTGTATTGCACTCATATGCCACTGTTTTGTCTTGCACTTATTTCTCATTTTTATGCATAGTTTCTTATAGGACGCACAAATTGTTTTCCTAAAATGCACACATTGGTTTTTTTTTAGCTAAAACCAAAAGAAGCAAAATAATTTTTGTGTCTCATAGCTCGATGATCATTGAACATGTTAGTGGTGCTCGCAATATCTTTGCCGATTCTTTTACTAGAGAAATCAAGCCATAAATTCAACGCTAACCTTGTTCACCAACTAATTGTGAAGTTGTTTTGGGATACTAATCAATGCATACTTGTGGAATGCATTGGGATGTAACAACCAAATATATTTTTGTGTGAGTTAACGTCGTCAACCATTTAACTTTTGCTAATGCATAATTCATTTTGTTGTGTTTGTTGTTTTCTCATTGTTTTACTTTTTTAATTGCAAAGTTCGTAGATATCAGTCCAATGCCTCATATGCACACATTGCGTACAATAGATGCACATGTATATTGTTGTTAGCATGCGCACACTTAGCACAAAAAATGCACAAAACTCACAAAACAAGTACACATATTTGCGTCAACATACTTGGTTTTCTCCTTGTAATCATTTCCTCTTGCTCAGGATGTAGTAGTTGAGATGGAGGATAAGGGCGCACAAGCAGACAGCTGCACAGTGAGGGAATACTAGGGCGAATAGAGACACCATAGCATGGGGCATTGGTTACTCTCTAATTTGATCCTGATAGCATGTGTTTGAGGTTGGAGAATGGGTCGTGATGCCGATCTTAGAGGAAGATGTCTTGGCAACTCTTGGTCTGCTACGGGGAGACACTGAGATCACAAAGCGTGGGAAGCATGATGTGAGCATCACATTGTTGGGATGAAAGGGGTTGTTTGGGAAGCCTGGCAACAATATCACACCTGCAACGACTTGTCACGAGTTGGTCAGTTATTTAGATGGGGACGTGTGGTTCAAACGCCACTTTGTTGTCCTTGCTTTCAGTACCATCATTTTCGCATGCAAAATGGCTATGCGAACCAGCTCATTTTCCAACACCTTGAAGATGTTGACAAAATTAAAGAGCTCAATTGGTGCAAGTACTTGTTGGACTGTTTGGTTGAAACTTAGGGTGAATGGGCATGGAAAGAACACCAACAGTTCACAAACCCTCTTCTTTTCTTAATGGTAATCCACTTTACTCTTTCTCATAATTACTAAGTTGTTGTGGCATCTGAATTTTTTCGAGTGTGTGTATAGGTGCTTTATGTTGACTACGTTGCAGCAAGGAGTAGGTTTGTTTCACGGTTGGTGACTTCCATTTGTTGTTGGACTACCAAATTGTTGAGGGCTCATGAGTTTTCAGAGATCAGGAGTGCTAGCATTGCTTTGGAAAATGTCTAATTGAACCCCGAGTAGGGGGGTGGTGTTGATGGTTCAGGGGATGTGCCAGTGTAACAGGTGGGAGATGGAGCACCTCCACATTTTTTGGTTCAAGACGGAGCGGGTGGTGATCGTGGTGGGACATCTCAAGGTGCTGCGCTGACAATGCAAGACACGACGAAGGTATTGTTTTTTACACTTGCACATTTATGGTGCTCTCTTTTACTTGCTAGTGCACACATATGTAGTTGTTCTATTGCACTCATATGCCACTGTTTTGTCTTGCACCTATTTCTCATTTTTGTGCATAATTTCTTATAGGATGCACATATTGTTTTCTTGAAATGCACACATTGCATTCTGAATTGCACATATCTCTCTTTTGTGTGCATGGATTCTTGTATAATAATGCATAGTTTTTTCAGCTAAAACCAAAAGAAGCAAAATAATTGTTGTGTCTCATAGCTTGATGATCCTTGAACATGTTAGTGGTGCTCGGAATATCATTGCAGCGATTCTTTTACTAGAGAAATCAAGCTAGAAATTCAACGCTAACCTTGTTCACCAACTAACTGCGAAGTTGCTTTGGGGATGCGAATCAATGCATATTTGTGGAATGCGTTGGGATGTAACAAACAAATATATTTGTGTGTGAGTTAACGTCGTCAAACATTTAACTTTTGCTAATGCATAATTCATTTTGTTGTGTCTATTGTTTTCACATTGTTTTACTTTGTTATTTGCAAAGTTCATAGATATCAACCCAATGCCTCGATGCACACATTGCGTACAATAGATGCACATGTATATTGTCGTTAGCATGCGCACACTTAGCACCACAAATGCACAAAACTCACAGAATAAGTGCACATATTTGCGTCAACATACTTGGTTTTCTCCTTATAATCATTTCCTCTTGCTCAGGAGGTAGTAGTTGAGATGTGGGATAAGGGCGCACAAACAGATAGCTCCACAGCGAGGGAATACTAGGCGAGTAGATAGAGTGCACAATGCGCACGGCTACTAAGCCTTTGGATTTGGACGACGTTTCCCATACACCTCATATAGGTATACTTCGATTGCTGTATTGTGTAGTTATCCTTATACCAATATATGTAATTTTGCATTTTCTCATCTTAGATAATTCGATAGAACTAGATGACTGAAACAGATTACTGATTGATCCAGTTAGGTTAATCAGTAAGTATGTAATGAGGAAGAACGATAATCACACACAAAAATTAAGGCACAGAGTATTTTTTACCCAGTTCGATACAATGTGTATCTACGTCTGGGGGACGATCACATAGGCGTCCAATCCACTAACTCATAATCCAATGTACAAAGGTAGATATACAATAATCTTATCCAAGTGCCCCACACAAGGTCCAAACCCAGTCTACAATGGTTTAGTGGATTGTTGAAGATGGAGAGCCATGCATACAGAAGTCCAATGAAATCCCTTTCACTTGGAGAGCCAACTCTGATGCAGTCCACTTCAATGACGCTCAATAAAGTTGTTACCACAACAGTGTGATCTTTTCGTCCTTTCGTTTAAGTAGCAGTAGTTCTTCTCAAGTTCATCATCTTAATCACCTTGAACATACTGTTTTGAGAAGAAGCATGTCAATCAAAGATCTATTCTCACATAGCCGGTATGGAGTGTTTCTTTGTATCTTCGTCGTCACCCTAGTTCTCTCCAAGAACTGGTTCTTATAGATCCTTCAATAAACACTCTCCATAGATGTCTTTGATTGTAGAAGGTAGGACTGTAAAAGTGGAAAGTAATCTTAGCAGATTAAGTCCATTACCTTCTTTGAAGATACGCTGATCTTCTTTCCATACTGGTCTGATCTTCTGTGGAGTACCGCGTGAGCCTCTTAAGGAAACAGCTTTCCTAAATCAGATCTTCAGTGTCAGTCCTTCTGTTGTTGTCTCTGATTGATCAGTCATCTGTAAAATCACCCAGACAAAAACCTAAACCTATCTTAGAAAGCCATAATAATATTGCCAATTATAGTGTGGGGTTTTTTGAACATAAACACTAACAAACTCCCCCTTTGGCTATTATTTGGCAAAACAACTTAACTAAATCAATTGAAAAAAAAAAAACAAACTAAGATAGGATATGAGCAAAAACAGCCCATGATCAATTCTGATTAAAAACATCCAAAAATACAAACTAAATAAACCGCAGTCTTAGATCAATAGGAGACAACAACCGGACACATCGGTCAGAAAGAGCTTCGAGCAAACCAAAAAACAAACATTCCAATCATCACATCGCCCAGCCAGGGCCAGAAGGTACTCAAACAACCATCACAGACACACTCCCCCTGAGTTCATTACTCCCCCTTTTTGCCAAAAGTAGCCAAAGATCAAGCATTGGAGGGAGAGTCACTGTCTGTCTTCTCAGGATCCACAGCAGCAGCAGTATCAGTCAGACTCATGCGGAGCAGAACAGTGGCTAGCTCAGTGCGTGCTCCGGTAAGTTGTTTAGCAATGATACCGTGCACCGTTTCAAGATCTGCAACACGCGCCTTCAACTGTTCAGACAGCTTCACATCTTTGTCATGCAGGGACTCATCATCTACAGCCTCAGGTTTAGAATTTGATGGAGCAGTGACAGGGACGACATCCTTGATATGATCTCCAGATAGCAGCCGTTTGTCGACAGTATAAAGCAGCGTCGGGCTGATGACTTCACTGGTCATTGGTTTAAGTCCCCGTTGTCGAAGAATTTCCTGTCTATGTGTAGCTTCTCTTTGGGCAGCCTCAAGGCACAGAGCTTGGGACACTTCTCGTCGTCGGGCAGCTTCGTCGGATTCTAGGGCACGCTGAGCAAAATATTGCAAAAATGCCCCGGCCCGATTACCATCATCCGGTTCTGGAATAGATACTAGTGAGACCTCATCATTTGCTTCAGCAACCATCACCAGGAGTTCAGTGACGTCGTCGGCGGACCAGTCAGCGTAAAACTCCGGGTAGTTAGACATGACCGTCACAAGAATCTCATCCCGCAACAGAGGATCAAGCTTAAGCTTCTTCTTCATAGCCAACTGCAGAAGAGTCTGAATATGCTTCAGGGCGTTATCCGGTGAATGTACCTTCCTTCCGAGTTTGATGATAATATTCCTCACAGGATCCACCATGGAAGATTATTCGTCTGGAAAGAACTAACTTTTGGAGACCAATATAAGGGAGAGAGAAAGAGGAGATGAGAGTATGAACAATTTCTCTCTTCTTGGCCCGGTAACACAGAGCTTAAGAATAATGAGCCCTAGATAAATTGTCTTGTCAAATAGCATGCATAAGAGATTGATTGATGCAACGGTAAAGCTCCTTTTTAGGAAGGAAACAAATCCCAAGGAAAATTTGAATTTTAAAGAAGCCAATAAGATCGTTTAAGATATCTTCGGAGATGAATAAGCATAAATAGACTTCTTAACTTAACCATCGAGAGGACTACAAGGAAAGTCAACGACATATCACTGACCCGTAGTAAACCAATTCCTCTCTGATGGACCAACTGCTTTAGTCAGTCAATTCTGCAAATTCCCAGAGCTGATCTGAGAATTTCGAAACGATTTGCATCTAGTGGCTTAGTCAGAATGTCCGCCAGTTGTTTGTCAGTCTGAATATATTCCAGCTCAATTTCCTTGGATTCAACCAGATCTCTGATGTAGTGATGCCTGATGTCAATATGCTTCGTTCTGGAATGTTGAACAGGATTCTTGGAGATGTTAATAGCACTGACATTGTCACAGAAGAGTGTCATTGTTCCCTGGGTAAGACCATAGTTTAGAAACATCTGTTTCATCCACACCAACTGAGTACAACAACCACTTGCTGCTATGTATTTTGCCTCTGCAGTGCTTAGAGATATTGAATTCTGTTTCTTGCTGAGCCTTGACACTAGATTTTTACCAACAAAGAAACAACCCCCAGAAGTACTTTTTCGATCATCAATATTTCCTGCCCAGTCAGCATCACAGTATGCTACCAGATTCAGTTCACTGTCTTTAGAGTACCAGAGACCATACTGTATAGTTCCTTTAACATATTTTAGAATACGCTTTGCAGCTATCAGAAGAGATTCCTTTGGATCAGATTGATACCTTGCACAAATTCCAACACTGAACATTATATCTGGTCGACTGGCTGTTAGATACAGCAGATTGCCTATCAGACTGCGATAGACTGTGTTATCCACTGATGCACCAGATTCATCTTTTGATACTTTTGTAGAGGTGGAGATGGGTGTTCTGGAAGATTTGCATGATTCCAGATCAAATTTTTTGACAAGATTCTTAGCATACTTTTCTTGAGAGATAAAGTATCCTTCCGAACTTTGCTTGACCTGCAGACCTAGAAAGTAAGTCAGTTGACCAACCATGGACATTTCAAACTCCTCTTCCATCACCTTTACTAGTTCATCTGTATATTTTTGCAAGGTTGAACCAAACACAATGTCATCCACATATATTTTGGCTATGGTTACATGACTTCCAGTGGTTTTTACAAACAGAGTTTTATCAACACTTCCCCGCTTGTATCCATGTTGAAGCAGATACTGTGTCAGACGTTCATACCATGCCCGTGGGGCTTGTTTAAGACCATAGAGAGCTTTTCGAAGTTCATAAACATATGTGGGATGTTCTGGATCTTCGAATCCTTTGGGTTGAGCCACATATATGTCTTCGTGGAGATATCCATTTAGAAAGGCTGTCTTGACATCCATCTGAAATAAAGTGAACCCTAGAATGCATGCGACAGCCAGCAATATCCTAATTGACTCGAGTCTTGCTACAGGAGCAAAAGTCTCGCCATAGTCAATTCCTTCAATCTGAGTATAACCCTGAGCCACTAATCGAGCTTTGTTTCTGGCGATATTTCCAGCTTCATCAGTTTTATTTTTGAAGATCCACTTCGTTCCAATAACATTGACACCGTTAGGTTTTGGGACTAGATTCCAAACATGATTCCGCTCAAACTGATGTAGCTCCTCCTGCATTGCCTTG